AGACTTCTGGGAAACCGGCGCTCCCGATAGGAACCAAGTCCGACAATCCGGATTGTCTGAGATGCTTGCTGCATTTCCGCCGCCTGGCCAAGAAACACCCAACCGTTCGGGCCGTGGTACTCCAAACTTTGGGAACGGCAGTCTATCCAAATGGCCATCAGGTGGCTATTCGCGCAATGGTGTCACAGACTCTGGATTGAGTAACGAAAAACAAAAGCCGCGCCGACGATGCTGTGGTATGCCGTTATGGACATTCATTACGCTCCTGATAGTCTTACTGGTTATCATCGCTGCTGCAGTCGTCATCCCAGTAGTCCTAGTCGTCATACCAAACATGAACAAAGGAGTCAACAACACTCCTGCAGCTCAAGAAACCCAAGGCCCCAACACCGGAGGCAACAACAACATGAGCAACACCAACGCTCCTGCTCAACCACTTCCCACGTCTGGTCCGGGTCAAGGCAACGAGCAATGCAACGGTCTCATCACCTGCCAAAATGGCGGTATCGCGATCCTGAATTCTGACCGATCATGCAATTGCGTATGCATCAATGGCTTCACGGGAAGTACATGCACGAACGATGATGCCACCGGGTGCACCACAACTAACCTTGCCGGCACTGCTAACAACGCAACCATGGGCTCCGGCATTCCTCGCCTTCTTGAGACCACCGCTCCCAAGTTCAATATCCCTTTGGACGGCACACGCGTGCTGGCGCTGTTCTCTCAGTTGTCTCTGAGTTGCGCTGCCGAAAATGCCCTCATCACGTTCAATGGGCTTGCCTCTCGTTCTGTTCCGCATCGTCTCCACTCTATGGATCTGAAGTCTACGCTTCACCCGTCACGTACATTACCAGTACTTCACCATCCCCATCCTGCGCAAGCTCCTGGTCAACAAGCCAAGCGCCAGACCGTGGGCCAGGTTGGCCAAGCTGAGGCTTCGAGTGACGAGAGCACATCTAAAGCTGAAACCATCATAACACAACCTATCTCAAGCAACATCAGTGCTCTCGACTTTGCTCGTGTAGCTGTACTCCTTGCGCTCCAGGAAAGCAAGGACCTGGACGTTGCCGCGAGCGCACAGGAGTCAATTCAAACACTGCTTACAAACGATCGCAACGGGAATGCGGACGGTGGTAGTGTTGATGTTGGTCCTTTCGATTTGGACCTTGTCAACTTCACGATCAAGTTTCAGAACGGCACCACGATACGTGCGCCGCCTTCATCCTCTTCTTAAGCATCATCCATCGTTTCGCGACATCAGTTAGATTTGAGATTTTGCCTTTCCCAGCATAGCGATACCCTTCTTACATTTTTCATCAAACCAGATAGCATCTCCATTTTCATTACATTCAGATCTTGTTCAATATCTTTGTACGATATCAAAGGGCTGGTGTGTGCCCGTGGATCAGCACAGCGCTGGCGTGTCTCTTTTTCCTTTCGTTCACTATCCTTAACACCATGTTTTCCTCTTATACCCGTCCCGTGGACGCATTGTCATGACCGATGGACTGGATCTAATGTTTGTTTTGTTATGGTTGGTGGGAAATACCCGATGGTGGAGTTCGATATAAACGGCAGTCTTGATCTATTAGCGAAAAGGATAGTGAGTAGCATAGCACAAATACCATAGCAATTAGATTGATGTGACAAAACTACAAAGCTAGTCGAAGCCTCCAGGCGTCTTGATACATGTGAACAGTGAAGATGCTGGGTGACTGATGAATACAGGTAACGACCGCGGACTTATGTAATATACCAACAACGTATCAGGCTCCGATATCCATCGCTAATGTACAGCCAAATCGCGGTTAGTGTACAGATGCTCTCTCCGCTGTACTGTGGTCGCTACTAGGTGTTCTCGTGTTCCCCTGATATCTCTAAGTCGGCCTTCCACAACTTTCCCCTTTCACCTCAACCCAAACCTCCCCAACATGAAGCCTACCACCGCTCTACCCATCAGAACCTTGCACTCCCCGCTTAAGGTCCCCCACCTCCCACCTTCAAGATCCAAAAACGGTCCAAAAACTGGTCACGCCGCCGACCTAATCGCGCTAGACTGTCGCATCTACACATTAAATCCACGCCCCTCCAACTCTGCGATCCTTCTTCCACGCACAGCGACTGACAGAACCACACACATTGACAAAACATCACACTCAATCAATCGCCGCTGGGTCTGTCTATCTTACACTTCTTTACTTCGCAACTGCGACAAGTCCATCCACTTCGCCAATTCGGCTCTCGCCATTCCATTCGCTCTGATAGTGCATCGCGACAACCGTCAACACTATGTGGGCGTTCAAGGTCTTGCCCGCCTTGTTCGGTGTGGTTCCGTGGTTCAAATCCACGGTTCCTACCTCCCACATCGAGGCCGTCGTCGTCACTCATCTAATGCTCGAAGCGCCTGTCATCTTGCCAACCGTCACTGTCACCGAGACAGTCGGTATCCCTGCCACTGCCATCACTCACGCCATCCCCACTATCTCCTCCACTCCCACTCCTCAGTCTAGTCGTCCTAGGCCCAACCCCTACAAGTACTCCTCGCCTGACCACAGTGAGTCCCGCTACAGGGCCCAGAATCGCGTGTCCACTGCGCACGCGATGGTGGTACCCCAGTACTCCAAGCTTGACTTGGTTGTATTCCTCGCCACCATCTTTGCCGTCATCATCATGGCTTGGTGGGCCACTGTCTTCGCCATGGGCAAAGGCCGCGCCATGCGGAGCCTCGGCCAGGTCCTCCCAGTTATCAATGCTTCCTTCCAGCACACTGGATGCCGCATTGGATATGCAGGTTTGCTCCTGGGTTGGTTTTGTTTGCTCACCGACTACTGGTTCGGATGGTCAGAAGGATACATCGTATGGCCAAGGATCTTCAGTACCTTCCTGTCGTACCCACTTATTCTCATCGTTCACACGCAACTGCCACCCGTTAAGTGTATTCCTCCCCTTTGTTGGAGGTTTGTCAAGACGGTCGTGAATGGTGTAGGACAGTGGTTCACTAGACAAGCACACGACTGGTACGAAGGCCGAACAAGCAAGCGTCGCATCGACAAGATATTTGAACGACATATATCCGTAATCACCATCGGAGAATGTCTTTCCCCGGGCCTTTACGACACTTACCCAAACCCGGTGACCTGGTCCCAGATATTCAAGGCCATCAGGACAGACCTCCTATTCTTCTTCTGGAACTTGATCATTGTCGTGATCAAGCTCCGTATCCGATCTTGGAAGCAAATCATACCACACATGCTGGATGCTTTGCGAGTCACGGCGCAAGTTTGTTTCGGCCTTGAACATGAGGATGTCTCTTGGAAAATCTGGAAAGCAGGCTATGTGACCTTTTTGAAGGGCGTTTGTACCATCTGCTCCGTGGCCTTGGAGCTTCTCAAGACATTTCTCGGTATGGTTTGGGTTGTGCTCGCAATGGGCAAAGCCGCCCTCAATCGTTCTCGCCTCCGTTATCTGAACACACCACTACCTGACGATTTGACGAAAGACGAGGCTGAGGCCTATGGAAACAAAGTCCACGAGGCTTATTGCAAAACAGCGACCTACGACTGGACCCAGACCGCTCTGCTGTTTCTTGCATATCAAGCAGCGTTGGAAGACAAAGATGCGTCGCGTTCACATACCGACGACATCATCGCATTCTACAGCGCCATCAGCCAAACCATTCGGAGCCCAGAGTTTCTTCAGATCCTCGATCGAGGTAACATGACTATTTACAAGGATTACCGTAATTCCCTTAGCATCCTCGCCAAGTGCGCCCAGGTCAACGTCCGCACTTTGGATGTATGGGGACCCAAGGTTGATGATGTCGCCACGGCTATGGAAGCCAAGTTTGTTCCTTTCGAACGCGACGAGATCGTCAAGTTCGTCGCTGGGATGCAGTTTGGTGCTTCGCCGCTTCGCCAGCACAAGACGGCTTCGTTCCCAAGGATGAGTGAGTGGACGGCTGATCCTTTCCTGACTGATGAGCCTGCGCCCCGGTCGATCTACCTCCCGCTCACGAGGAACTTTGCCTAGGCACTGGTGGAACTGTGAACGCTCCGATCAAAGATACAGACGGGGAAGAGAGAAACAGCATCGACAAGACGGAATCCTCACCGCACGCCAACGCCACTCGAACACTCCAAACAACGCCTACCGTCACCATCATCCGTCACCGATTCTCGCGGACCATCTCACCACTACCCCTTCCCCTTCCACTTGAACCATGATCGAACATAGACAAGCCTAGCTGAACCCTTTATGAAGCCGAGACAGTGTAGTTGTAGTGCACACAAATGTCTTTCAAACAGCTTCTCACCAATCCCATGCAGCAGGTATAGTCCGTCCGCGGTGCCTGAGCGACTGAAAAGTCCCGTTCTGAAGGATTGAGGGGTTTGAGGGTAGACTTGTTTATGTTTTATCTGTGTTCGGTGATTGAATGGGTGCGTGGTGCTTTGTGGGATGGACAGTGAGAAGCAAGTGACGGAGGCTGGGAGGGTAGGTGCAAGCAGGGGTGCTTGAGTGGAATCGCGTAAGGGGAGGAAGAGGTGGATTCGGTGTTGAGGATTTTGGATGCGATGGTATCTTTGGGTTTGTTCTGCACGATGTTTCCTAGATCTACTGATCTGATTTTCTTCTGTATGATACCTTTTGAGTTTTTACGAGTTTGACGTATGTTGCTTTCCAGATGTTCTGGATGCTCGAGGGGTGTTTTGGAGTTTGGCTGGAAAGATACCCAATTACTTGTCCTTTTTTCTCTATAGAATCAAACTTTGAACTACATATTTCTCCAAGTGTAAAGTATTGTCTGCGCCTCTCAGCAGAATACAAATGAATTTGTGGTGATGATGAGGGTGCAGGGCAAGCGCGACGCGACAGCCCCTCCATGTGCCCCACTCAAGCAGCTCGCAGTGCTCTCAATTACCTGTTCCTGAGCTGGCAGTCAACACTCAACAGCCACACCTCCCCCATATAACCGCCGACACCACCTATACCTTTCCACTATGCCTCAGGAAAACTCAAAGGTGTCAGACCCGGACGCGACGTCGCAAGCGGCCGCCGAAGTTGTCGCCGAATCGAGCAAGCAGCCAGAAGCGGAATCCGCAGACGAGAGCGGCGATGACGCGACCGAGACAGTAGAAGACGCAGAGGGGGCGTCAGAAAAGAAGAAGAGCAGGAAGCGCAAGATGAAGGATGCCATCAGCGGCAAGGGCAAGGCCGGCGACGTCACAGACTTGAATGCGCCCGCAGGAAACGTCCTACCAAAGGAAGCGCTGAACATGTTGCTCGCCAACAATCCCGGCCTAGCGAACGAGTTGCAGGGCAAGGCAAACAGCAAGGAGGAGCTGGCGCAATTGATCAAGAAGCTCAACATCAACGAGATGCTGACAGGTCTGGCGCCCCAAGGCAGCCAAAAGGACATGGCCAGTCACGCCTTCTGGAAGACGCAGCCCGTGCCCAGCTTCGAGGAAATGGCCAACAAGGAAAAGATCAAGGACGGACCTATCAAGGAGATCAAGATCGAGGAGGTTGACAAGAACCCAAGTCCCATGTACCCCGGTTTTGAGTGGGTAACGATGGACCTGGAGGACGAAAAGCAGCTCGAGGAGGTCTATGAGCTGCTCACAAACCACTACGTTGAAGACAAGGACGCGACCTTCCGATTCAAATACTCGCCATCATTTCTGAACTGGTAGGCAATCGCGTGCTGCCATGGACGACTTCCGCTAACGCAAGCAGGGCCCTGAAAGCACCAGGCTGGAAGAAGGAATGGCACGTTGGTGTCCGCGCAACCGCCTCAGGCAAGCTCGTTGCTTTCATCTCCGGTATCCCAATACAGATGCGAGTACGCGACAAAGTTCTCAACTGCTCCGAAGTCAACTTCCTCTGCGTCCACAAGAAGCTCCGCTCTAAGCGATTAGCACCCGTCCTCATCAAGGAGATCACCCGCCGCTGTTACGTCGAGGGCACATTCCAAGCGGTATATACCGTTGGGTCTCTGCTACCTACTCCCGTATCGACAGCTCGCTACTTCCACCGCGCGATCGACTGGGAGAAGCTATATGATGTCGGCTTCTCCCCTCTCCCCCATGGTAGCACCAAGACACGTCAAATTGTACGATACAAGCTCCCAGATACCACAGCTACCCCTGGACTCCGCGAGATGGAGGCCAAGGATGTGGACGCAGCTGTCGATCTTCTTAAGCGATACCTAGCGCGCATGGATATGGCACAAGTCTTCAACAAGACCGAGTTCGAGCACTGGATGGCGCCAAAGGAGAAGCCCAAGGAACAGGTTGTATGGAGCTATGTTGTCGAGGATCCCGACACTCATAAGATCACCGACTATTTCTCTTTCTACAACCTGGAGAGTACGGTGATCGGTAACAAGAAGCACAACACCATCAAGGCAGCGTACCTGTTCTACTATGGCACAGAAGTAGCGTTTGAAAAAGAGGACAAGGATAAGACGAAGCTAAAGCAGCGACTGAACCTGTTGATGAAGGACGCGTTGATCTTGGCCAAGAAAGTAAGCACTCCACCTCGTTGCTGTCCGACAACCCAAACTTCTACTAACATGCTGTGACCAGGCCGACTTTGACGTCTTCAACGCTCTCACACTCCTTGACAACCCGCTTTTCCTCGAGGAACAACGCTTCGGCGCCGGAGACGGCTCGCTGCACTACTACCTGTACAACTACCGCGCTGCGCCGATACCGGGTGGCATTGATGGCCGCAACCAGTCAAGCAAGGACCACATGGGTGGTATTGGCTTGGTCATGTTGTAATCGTGAGTTCTTCCAGCGTGCATCTGCTGCGGTGTTTGGATAGCGGTTTTGCTATGGGATGGATGTGTGTATCCGGGTATGTTGGTATGAGCACACGTCGTTGTGCAAGGCCTGCCGATATCTTTCTGAATGCATCAATTACTACCTACATTCCACCATGCTTATTCCCGATTACTAGTGGTCCCATCTACGTGATGTGAAGAATGCTATCGCTCATGCCTTGCGATCCCGTTGATAGGCAGGTACAACCCCTCATCTCAAGCAGCAACCATGCCATTCCACCTCAGTTTCTCTCTAAGGTCCGCCCTCTCCTCGACCGCCACGACCTCTACCCCGCCCACGTCCACCGCGGCCGCCTCGTCCGCCACGACCGTTGGTAAAGCCCCGACCACGAGTCCCAGGTAGCGCATCTCCTATGGTCAAGTTGTCGTCCGGAGGAGCTGCACCTCGTCCACAACCGAAGTTGGTGGGAGTTGGGGGAGAGAAGGGAGCAAATGAAGTTGCCTGACCACCCTGTGCATCTCCCTCCCCAGGCCCATGACCCAGCGTTGTATGACCTCGGCCTCGACCACTACCCAAGTTGATGTCGGCACCAGATGAAGGCAGTGAAGGACCGAGGGGGAAACCTCCCCGCCCTCTGCGGGTGCTTGAATTGCCACCGTACTCACCGCGCCCACGGGTAGTCGACCTGGTGTCATACCTAGGAGCACCGGAAGAGTCTCCCATGGAAGATCCACTCTGCGTGTTTGGCATCGCCACGCCTCCATCCCAGTTGTATAGGGTGTAGCCGAAAACGGAGTCCCCACCCGAGAATGCTCCGCGGCCCATGCCTTGAGTGTAGCCACCACGTCCAGCAGCTGCAGTGGCAGCAATCTGATGCTGATATGATTCTATCGAACTAGCCACACCAAGTGGTGGGCTGAGTGATGATGGTGGAGCCAATGCAGGTGGTGTGGACCCTGGAGGCGGCGCTCCCGAGGCGCTTAGCCCAACATCGAATTGTAGAGATCCGACCGTCGGCCACAACGATGACGAGGGATCTGGTCTCCTTGGAGTTGGTGGCGGTGGAGTCGGCTTTTCTACAGGTGGCACATATGTGACTTCGAATGTGGCCCCATACTGCTCCTTCAAAGCAGTGTGTAGCTTGGGCAGCATAGTACCCATATCTTCTGAAGTGACAGTTCGACCTCGAGCAACAGCAAAGATCTCATCATAGTCGTATAGTTCATCGTCGATAGGATTGGTTTCAGGGCGGGGCTTCTTCGTACCACTCATCTTGTTCTTGGTCCACTCTTCCACTGTCTTGAGGATGGCATTGCCATGTTCTCTAAAGTGATGATCGACTACGTCCTTCCATAGTGGCGGCGGTTTGTCGAGCCAAGCTAGAATCGCAGTACGTACAGTGTGCTCGCAAATCTTGTCGTTGTACATTGCCGAAGGACTATTGGGACTGCGAGTGTAGCCAGCCTCTCTTCCTGGCTCGTTGTACCACGGCTCCTCACACAGTATCATTGCCTGTATCGATATCAAGACTTGCAGTAACGTTGACTCGCTAGCACTCCAGGGCTCGCCAGACCATGTACCGAGAAGGGATAAGCAGACCTTGCCATCGGCGTAGAGATTTGGATTGATGGATATACGACCACCTGCTGTTCCTTTAAAGTTGACTAGTGGAGGGGTATGGGGGAAATCCGTGGTACAGAAGAAGTCGAACTCAAAAAGGCCGTTCTCATACGGTGTTCCAACAGGCCCAGTGATGACGCACTTGAGGATGTCTGGCCTGTTCTCACAATAGCGTACAAAGATACCTGGCGGAAGGCCTGTTTGCAGCGTTGTGATCTCCGTAACTAGTCGCTTGAACCTCCCCGGACGGGAAAAGTCAAGTTTCTTCGCCTGTTTGTAATAGTGATGAGTCTGTTTGATCAAGTTCTCCTCCACTTCTCCCATTGCAAGGTCCTCAAGGACTACTGCAGCCTCCTTGCCCTTTTCGCTACCAGCTTCTGTGGGGGTGTTATCCTTGATAAATTGTGAAAGGGCTGAGATGCTACTACAGATCCATATCATTTGCTGGCCTTCTTGATTCTTGAAGTCCTCCTCATTGTTCTTAGCGCTCAGGAGGATCATGGCACTCTGAGTAGTGAGATTACGTAGGCACTCTGCGAGAACGGAAACGCTTTCTCTCAAATCGGGTGCAGCAGCGCAGAACGATAATGTGAGAAGATCTACCATCTCGGGACGCACAAAGCGAGGGCCAAAAAGAGCCGCACTCGTTTCGCTATGTGACCCCACGTTCATCAAGAAGGTGAACAGAGTCTGGTAGAGATTTCTGCGCTTCATAACGTCGGCCAATGAGTCGTTTCGGAGTAACTCTGCACAGTATTGGAGAATCTTGCTGTTGCGGAGCATTTCCAGAACAGCTTCAGGAGGATCGAAATCAAAGCAGGTTTCTCGCTCGAGGCTCGGAAGCAGATCTGTCAAGAAGCCCAGAACCATTTCACAGAAGACATCTTCACATATCTGTGCCTTTCGGGCTCTTGAAATCTTGGTTTCCTTCTTGGGCTTTGGAGATACCGGTTCCTTCGAGTTCACGACGTGTCCTAAGTTGTGCTCGGAGCCCTTAGCTTCGCTTGTCACACACTCCGGACCATCAAAGTTGCCGCTATCGTCGCCTTCCTCAAGTTCATCGGTGTCGTAATCATAGTCAGTTTCTTCGTGCATGTCGTAACCATGTCCTCCATACCCCATACCACGAGGCATGTGGCCCGCCGGAGTTCCATGACCACCCCTTAGGCCTACAGCACCACCGCGGGTGGGCTTATTAGCCGTCTTACGCGCCTTTGACTCCAGCTTGGATTGCTTCGAAATCTTTCCGACATCCCTAGATTCCCAGATGTGCCGGTCGAATCCACAAAGGAGTGCCCATATAAGAAATAACCGACCGCCAACGCAGCACCACGAGACGCATTGTTTGCTAGATTGAGACAAGATCTTAGAAGGTCTTGCGAAGGGTTCTGGCTCGCATGCGATGCATGAGCGCGTGTTGCAGCTACTGCATCGAACGTTGCAGGACAGTTCATCTACCGCGCCATCCGCCCAATCCTGGAACAAACGACGAATGTCGAGTTCCGAGGTAAAGAACGGTTCCTGGCAGATGCGACATTTCGTCGTCTTAAGGTGAGCCGTGAGGTCCTCAAAGGTATTAAGGGTGACGTAGTTTGTTGGCGTTTCTTCCTGGTAGTGTGCGACTCTTCCATCGTCCTTGACAGGTCTCCAGTTTGACCCGCTGGCAGTTGCAGCCGAGTTATCGTGGGTGGGCTCAGAGGCAGAAAACTGCCCCTTTGCTTGTCCTTTCTCAGGGCCGTCCATCGATTCCCCTCGTGTTTCCATACTTGACTCACTTCTTGCACTGGCAATGAGATGCTATCTCAAGGCTCCGTAGAGTTAGATCGATATTGTAGGCCTTTGAGATATGTTATTGCATTAGTGCTGATCGTTGAACGTGAATACGACCCAGCGAGGTGGTTGAGCGCTGGCAATAAGTGCGACCAGGAGATGTGGTGTAAGCGTGTATACCTAGTTTCAGTGTGGTGTACGAGAGACCAAATCAGGTGAGGCTGAGGCGCAGTCACCTTAAGCACGTGTTGCAGCCGGTGAACGCTGATAGCCCTTATGCGTAGTGAATGGCGAAGTGACGGAGAAATAGACTGGCGATTTCCAAGCTGTGCTCAAAGAAGGTTCACAGGAAATGAGAATGACGGGTAATGCCTAACCACGGATATGCACAGGGCCGCACCTACCCAATAGAACCTCAAGGCAACACAAGGCGACAGCGCGGCTGAGACCGATTGAGGTGACCATGTGACGAGTCGCTACCAAACTTCATATTTTGGAAAAGAAAATAACTGTGGACACGGATCTGATTGGAAAAGGCTGACTATAGAACATTGTATGCAATGGGGATAGGTCCATGTGCATGTGAGGTAGAGAGGTGCCACTCGAAGCATGGCGCCCAGCCATAAGTCTTTCGGTGTTATCGGAGATAGCCCGCATTCCGTCATCGTTCATCGAACCACTCGCATCGCGACGCGACTACTCCCTCATCCATGTCTCACCGGACTGAAGCCGCTGAGTTACCGCGATAATGGGTCAAGGAGCATCGCACGATACCCCGCAATTGACACTAGGTACGTGTGCGCAATCTACAACCTCTCGATCCTTGATTGCCGCTTCCAAGCTGCCGCCTAAGCATCTTGACTAACCAATTTCCAGAGCAGCTCTCACAAACCATAGCCCAACGATTCGCACAGAAAAGCTTCTCCCCTCTCGAGCTCTACTGCTTCAACTCCGTGTTCCGATCCCTCGCTGATACTGAATCCGGTGTGAAATACTGGAGTGAGAGCACACTATGTCGGTTCCTCGAGCTACCAGATGCGCTGGGCGTGGGCTCTGTCGTCTTTCAGATGGCTAGTTATCTTGGAGCATTCCCACTCCCTAGTCAAGCGCCAACTATACTTACGCACGAGGCGCTGCTCAAGGTTGTCACTATACTTACAGAGAGATATGGAGCTGTGCTCAAGAGGAGAGGGAAGGAGATCTGGCTAAGAGAGCTCTACCGGAGTTTGGCCATATACGACAAGGGTATACGCTCAAGTCTGGAAGATAAGGAAAAAGAAGAGATGGACCATCAGCCGAAGCAATGGAAAGAGGGGAGCAGTAATCTGGGGTTTGCCATCGATGCGCCTGAAGAGGGAGAAGCAGGGGAGGACGAGGATGACGATGAGTTGGTGCTGGCTGCGTTGGACTCTATGGATGCCATCGATGCGTTCAAACATGGAGAACAAACGAACGTACATCATTCGATCATACCGACCGACAATTTCCTCAAGCTGGTCGAACTACTACTGCTCATCGCGCCGATCGATGCGCAGCAAAGCGTCTCGTCACTGGCACCAGACCTTTCAGACAAAAGAGTAGCGGAGCTGCGGCAGGCCGCGAATGTTATACTGTCGTCTTTTGGCGTGGACAATCATCCCGGTGTCACGTATCGCACATTCAATACTGTCGTCTCGACGTCCTTACCATACCTGTTCAATGGTCTCAACCCACTCTTCGAGCATTTCCTCTTCGCGAAAGACTTTGACCTCTCCAAACGGAAGTCAGGCCCTGGATCTCCCACCCAAGAGAGCAAGCCTGTAATACCTCCACCAAAGGCAGAATTAGAACCAGTGCTCCGAGAACCGGGTGAGATCTTGAATCTGACGACACTGAGCCAATTGTCATTCTTTATCAAAGGCAGCGATCTCTTCCGGCGATTGCGGCCTCTATACAGCGGTAACACACATGGCTTCAGCATGGGATCCTTTGAAAAGCAAGTTTTCAATTGGCGTGCGCCCACCATCCTTCTCGTAAAAGGCCGTCTTCTCCCCGCAACACCCTCCAGCACTCGCGAACGGGCACTGCAGGACATGCTACCACCAAAACGCCTACCAGACAGCGTAACCTCCACCTCTCCTAATCAAACCCTCATCTACGGCGCCTACATCTCTTCGCAATGGAAACACACTGGCAAGACCTGTTTTGGCGACTCCTCAACAGAACTTTTTCAGCTTTCACCTACGCACGATGTCTTTACAGCCTCAACCTTTAGCAAAGACTACACTTACTTCTCTAAATCACCAACTTACCCCGCCGGTGTCGGTCTAGGTACCCCTATCCCCACACAATCAGCTTCCTCGTCGCAGTTTTCTCACTCTCCCTTCCGTCCTGGCCCGGTTTCCTTGCATCTTGACGATGCGCTTGAGTTTGGTATCTTCACGCATCTTTCCGAGGGTGGCGGCTCCTTCCATCCAAGCAAGCAACCTGGAAGGAAGAAGAAGGATTGGCAGGATCGCTTCGAGATTGAGAGTTTGGAGGTTTGGGGCTGTGGTGGGGACGAGGTTGCAGAACAACAAAGGAAAGAGTGGGCGTGGCAGGAGCGCGAGGCGGAGGCTAGACGGAGGGTCAATCTTGGGACTGGAGACGCAGAAATGGATCGAGAGTTGTTGAAGATGGCGGGTATCATCTCTGGTGACAGGAGTGGAGGCAGTATGGGATAAGTGGCCATAAAGGTATCGATCACGATGTAATGACATGCATGACTGACATAACTTCGATGTCTTGAGTAGATTCCATTTGCTGCAGCAGCTGAGTGTTTGTTCCAAATTGCTGTTGTACCCGTCTAAACGCCTGTAATGCCTTTGTATGCATACATATGATACAGCTCCTCCTCCTTTCGGGTTGTCGCTCTCCATCAACCCATCACTCAAGATATTCCCAAATTCCTCTCCTAGCCTCACAAGTATCCACAAACGCATCTATCCTTGCCTACGCGGTGTTAGCATACTCCAATCGTCACTCCCCCACCGTGTCCACCCCGGACCAAACTCACCTCTGCTTATGCTTAGGATTCTTCGAACAGATGATGTACACATATCGCCCCTTCTTCCTCCTTACGCTCTTACATCCATCACACAGCTTCTTGACCGAACTCCGCACCTTCATGCCGCGCGTTTGTATCCGTCCACCCATGCTCAGGCCATTGAAGCCTGAGACGAGGTCCCGGATTCCATAGTTCGATTGTTGTGAGGCTTGCGCGCGGAAGGTGGAGAGGGTGGGTCGTACGCAGGAGCATGTTGGCGTGTGGATGTGTTGGGTGCGGGTGCGGAGGGTGGTGCGGAGGGTTTGGGTTGAGCATGGACGTCGGAACGCGGTGGTGAGGGCGCGGGACAGCATGACGGCGACTCGGGAATTCAACAATCGCCGCGGTCGGCCGAAGAGGGTGCGCGATGGAGGCGGTTGTGCGTTCTGGCGTGGGTATGATACCAGTGGAGCGTTGATGGTGTCGCCGCGGAAAATGTATGCCAAGGCGCTAGCGCGCTGGAGCATATCGCGCTTTCACAATGCATATTTCTACAACATCACAATCTTGCATTCTTGTTGTCAACATCTGCATGTGCTACGAATTGCAACTACTTGTCACCATGAATACTTCGCATCGCCGAACCCTATTGCAGTGTTCGGATGGCCCGCCACCTCTCAGAATCCGCGCCCGAATTGAAATCCAGGACCTCCATAACCCCCCATACTACCGGGACCATTGGATCGGCCTCCTCGGGCATATGGCGGCATCTGTGATCCATGTCCGGTTCTGCCACTTACTATGTTCTACTGGCTATGCGAAGGGACTATCTTCTGCGGAACGTACGTTGCACCGTATCCTTGGAGAGTTACCTGTAGTTGTGGTAGTATTGTTGCGAAATCCACTGGATGCTGTCGCACACGTGGCAAGAAGAAGGAGAGTTGTTGATTGGGATAGTGCGTGCGGGTACGACTAGCGCTAACTGCCCAACGCTCAACTGTACGCAGAATCGTGTCTGCATGCTTGTGAAAGTGAAGGTTTACAACATCTTTCCAGAAGCCAGGTGGATCACGGGCCCAATTCAGTATTGCGTACTCCGTTGTCAAGCCACTAACAAATTTGATACTGAAGAAATCTTCAGCTCCTGTCTTCGAGTGGTCCGCTGGGACGTTGTCGAGGGGATCAGCAACAAAGATCATAGCTTGGATACTGATTAGGACCTGGAGGATCGTCGATTCGCCTGGACGCCATTTTTCGCCTGGCCAAGTACCAAGCAGGGATAGACACACTACAATGAGATTAATACATGACCGGGATCGTAAGTCGCAGCAAGCTTACCTTTTCCATCCTTGTGGAGATTTGGATTGAATATGAGTTGGCCGCCTTGTGTACCTCGAAAGAACATTTGTGGAGGTTTGTAAGGGAACTCGGCTGTACACCAAAGGTCGAACTCAAAAAGCCCGTTCTCATATGGCGTGCCTTCAGGGCCTGCAATAAGAATTCTACAAGGATTAGTAACCGGCTTAGGCGGCAACAACCTATCAACCCACTTACTTCATCACATCAAGTCGGGACATGGCGTGCTTGACATATATCCCAGATGACAGTCCTGTCTTCAAGGTCGTTATTTCAGTGATAAGTCGTTTGACACGACCCCTCGGCGATTGAGTGGTCATCTGCGCTTCTCTCGCAAAATGGAAACATGGCCAGATCTGATCATCCGGCACTTCGACAATACCATGATCCACCGGCCCTGCATTGCCTTCCCCAATCTCGAGGTACTGGGAAAGGTCGGATATCTCGCGACAAAGCCACAAGAGGTCCATACTTTGCTCATCCTGAAACTCATTCCGTGACCTCTGAGCACCGTTTAGCATGACTTGGCTCTGGATGTTCAGATTGCGAAGATTGACGGCGAATGCAGAGGCGTTTTGGCCAGACAAATTTCCTGTAAGACCTTTGAAAGACAACGTCAGGAGATTGATATTGTCCGGGAATACAATACGCTCATTGAACATGACAGCCTGTTTTGATAGTTCGTGGACTCCGACATTGCGGAGGAAGCCAAAGAAAGCCATGTAAAGGTTCTTTCTCTTAGTCGCATTGCCCAAACTGTCGTTTCGGAGTAGCTCCGCGGCTTTATCGAGGACCTTGCTGTTAATCAACATCGACAAGACGGCCTTGGGTGGGTCGACATCGAAACGCGTGATGTCTGGCTTGTTGTGATCGGGACTGGGACACAACACTGCGAGGAAGGCGAACAGATTCTCGTAAAACCTGTCTTTTTGCCTTTCCGTGTCCAAAGCTCGATGTCTACCTCGGTCTCCAAATTCCCTGCTACCAAACATCTCTGGCATGCTCAAGTGACTCTGGTCGTAACCTGTACCCCTATCGACAGTTCTGTTGATCTTGGTCTTCGTTGTTGCATCACTCCTCTTGGCCTGGCAGTATTCCCGATCGAATCCACAAAGCATCACCCAGATGGTGAAAAGTCGCCCGCGGCTGCAGCAACATACTATCTTGATGCCATTGACTGGTATTTCTAGTGCCTTGGACTTGTTGAAGCAGGCGATGCAACAAGCTCTCGAGCACTTACTGCACTTGACCTGCGAACTGATCGTTGCTGTGACCGTCAATTTCTAACATCTGGTTATGGAGGCCTTCAAGATTACCTTGTCCACTGAGCCAGCTCTGGAACAGTGTATTTATGGCACCGCTATTTTGTATGAATTTGACGTTGCAATTTTGGCATTTTCTGTCAAAGATATAGCCGGCAAAATCACTATAGGTGTTAAACTCGACTGCGTTCGCATTTGTAAGCGCGTTGCACGCTGGTGCTGCATGCCGTCAACTTCTGTCATTTTCTCGATACATGATCATTATTTACCTGCATTTTGGCAGCTCATTTTTTTGTTTCGTGAGGCACGTATGTGTAAGTGTACTGATCGATGGGATAAGCGCAGGAGGAGTATTTGAGCGCCAAATGAGGAAGTTGGCCAAAGGTATATGTGTTAGCTGCATGGAAGAGCACTACGCTTCACTCTCCAAATGTCACAATACCGGAAGGTGTATATCATCTCTGCCTACGCTACCTATGAATTCTTATGTATAAATAGCTTTCCCATTCAAGTCTTCAACACGCAATGTCGAGGCAGTTAACGAGATCTTATCTAGTGACAGTATCTCTTCACACTATCCTCTTCCTTTGTCTCTCCAAATTCATTGAACTCTTCGTGACTCCGGCGACGAGGAGATACTTGGGTCTCCGATCCGGCCGGCGACACCACTCCAATCTCCTCCGCTCTGTCACTGGCAACCATTGGCATATCAATGTTTGCTACTAACTGTACAGAAGGCTTCATCGCTTCAGGAGCCATCTCTCGCATTGCTTGTTCCACCTCTTCGTCTTCAAACTCATGTGACGTAGCGTCGCCCTTCGTCTCGTCTGTTTCCCTTGCTTCTGTTTGCTTCTGCCAACTAAACAAGAACACTGGTTGCTGAATACCCAACCCCATGACTTGACCGGGTAATCTCTTCTGGCTCAAGATCTTCCTGTCTTTGTGTACGAGGTCGTCTTCTTCGTCATCGGAGTCGCTTTCGTCACTCCAGTCATCCTCCATCCCCTCTACCTCTTCCCCAAAGACTATGTTCATACCATCATCTGTGAAGTCCTTTCCGCGTATTTGAAGCATTTCGTTAGCATAACCGTTCCACTTCTTTCTATGTTCTTCCGCTTCTTCGTCTTCATCTTGTGTGCCACCGAGACGATCGTAGTTGCAATCGCTCATGAAGCTTGTGTCGACCCATACGCTACCTGGTGGACTGGCGTGTTCACCCGGTGTATACGAAGGAGAGGATCGCTGGTAGTATGTTGATCGTCGTGATGAAGGTGACGGAAGGTCGTCGGGGAAGTATACTCCAAACATAGGAGGAGAATGTAGATGAAGCTGGGACGGAGTTTGAGGTGGGGAGCATGGTGTTATCCATGATGGTGGTAGAGCGTAGATGCTCGGATCTGAGGAGGCTGATGGGGACTGTTGTGTAAGGGTCGACTTGTTGGGGGGAGATAAGATTATATTCGCTCCGTTGGTACCATTCTCATTCTGTTTGTCTGACTCTAACCCATCAGAGACCCCATCCAGGTACCACAATGTTTCTTGTTCCGGCTTGGGCGAACTAGGTGGAGAATGCGGGGTCTCGTTTTCCTCATCCCCAGTAACAGAGGTTCCTTGCGACTCGCCTCCCACGCAACGCCTTTTTGAGCGCCTCTTTGGTACAAAGAACTCGCTCCATCCTTCCGCAAGGAATGGGGTTAGTATCGCGAGATCCAGCGCTTTCATGCAGCTACTAGATCCCATCACTGACGCTGGAATCGCCAAGCCGGTTTGCAGAGAGTCTTCCTCCCACGATACCTCTTCTTTTGCGCACCGCTCGTACACGTCCACCAGATTAGCCCATCGAACTTTCTCAACATGCCAAATTCGCTTAGCTGCATGGTAAACATGAGACAATTCTGGGTCTCCAGAGCTATAAGGCTTCAAGGGCCCACCGACAAGGCGCCAGACATGTGCAATCCGGTCAAGGGAGGCGATACACTGAGTAATGAGGCACCCCGGGCAGACATCGCCCATCCAAGGGTTGCCGGGATGGACAGGGTGCTTGCAGAAGCGTGTGGTAAGTAGATCTAGGGATTCCTCTTCCTTTTCCCCCTCGTCTTCGCCGTCTTCGACAGTCGAACAATCTCCTACATCTTGCATGTAAAGCTGTTCCTTGACCTGTCTCGTATTCATGAAGGCCTTGAATGTATGCGCACTGGGTATTCCTCCCACTTCCTGGTTTCGCACCGCTTGTACTTTTCTTCTCCATACTGCTTTTGACGGGTAAAGCGCTGCTTGGTCGGGATTCTCGATACTGGTTTGCCAATTGATGTAAAGTGAGTAAAGTCTCGGTCCAAAGATTCCAAGGGCAGCTCTGTCGGAGGTGAGGGGTCGGCTCGGAGCGGCGGTGCAGTGAAGAGAGTGAGTAGCGGTCGGAGTTGAGGACATAATGATATTACGTGTATGTTCCAGATGCGTGATGGGTGAGCGGACGGAGCAGCCACGTAAGAAGAGTCCTTCCGTGAGGCGCGATTGATCGCGATTTGGGTAATAGCTCAGTCGATAGTTCTTTCACTCGATCTTGAATCGTGCCTGTTAACTCTCACCTCGTACCTTCTCCTAGGTTTTATCTTCTTTGATGACTTGGTCTGCCCTAACAGAGTTGAGTCCAGGAAACACTCCGCATATTTAACACTGTCATATCTTTGTTTCGCGACAAACCGACGTGATGAATCACTCATATTCACCGCAATACCAAAAACATGGAAACAAGAAGGCTCTCTCAAATGAGACATCGCAACCGTATCAAAATCCCAAGCAATATGCCAGAATAGTTTGTGGCAAATAACTGGAACATAACACTCCGTGGATGTACGAGCGCTTGATTGTGAGGTCCGAATAGAAAGGAATAATGCTCTGAACCCCTCTGTTCGAGGGAATCGTGAAAACCCCAGATTAGTGATACTGGAGGGAAACGCCCCTGGTGTGGAGTCGGTGCTGAACGAAAGAGAAAGCATGATTAAGGCTCATGGTAGCGAAGATAGTGGGGTCAAAGCTCGCAAAAGAATAATGCCCAGCCGCTGATGGTCCCAGACGATAGTAGCTCGATTCGGTGTTGAATCCTGTAGATTGCTCCAGAAGTCACAGGCAGATACGACTGGAGTTGTGTCAGTAATGGCAGTTGTGAAGATAGCATTGGTTGCGAAGGATTTGCGTATAGATAGATGTAGTCGGGTCATCTAGATCAGTGGTCGCGTGTCAGTGACTGTGCCGCAGGGTGTTCGAATCAAGACCTGCATAATGTAATGTAGCTCGCATGCAAGCTATCTATGCCGACCAAATCTAAAACGGACAATGCCCAATGCCAGCAATCAATGGTTTCAAGAGAACTGCTCGATGCAGTAACCCACGATGAGATGGAGGAGGACCCAGAACCCGACGGTGAGGTTTTTGTGGATATATGTCGTGCGTCGCTTCCGTGTAATGCGAGGGCCCGTTCCAAGGTTCATGTATCCATCGATTTTACCATTGTCTGTTCTAGGACTAGCGGGTGGCTCCAGTGGCTGGGGTGGCGGCCGGGGATGGCATGCTGTTGGCTGACAATGCAAAGTTATGCTGTGAGACGAGTGCCCTGTCGTCGTGGTATGCGAGCCAAGTCTGAAGCTTGCAGAAGATGAAGTTGCTTGTGGAAGGAAGGCCGGGTTGATGATTGTGACGGAATAGGCCGGGCCAGCCAGTCAGGACGGTTCGGGGGAAGCCGCTGGGCTTGCTTGACGCAACACAACGGCTGCAGTCCACCAGCGCTCGTCGATAGCCAAGGCAAATGAGTTCAACAGCTGCTCTACGAACAACACCGACCTAGGTCATGTGGGCACCAATGCTATGTCAATCTCAGCCTGAGATCATCTCAAAAGTAAGCTTGCAGGCGGCGCATGTCTGGTTTACTTGCATGCTCTACAAACGCGCGAACGGCTCCACCACGAAGTTGAAGAGCAGCAGAAAGACAACGCACTGATAATCTCATATCTCATCTATCAACGACAATTCTATGTCGAAGGTTCATCAAGCACACAGCTGGTGCAAGGTAATCGAATAGACAGGCAGGCGAATGACTAAGCAATAGTACCGAGATGGCCGATGCTCGGACTCGAAGATGCAGGCTGCCCTATCCATGCCGTCAAGAGCGACCTCCTCCCAACTGTCCCATATCGCTAGATCGCACGATCCCTGGATAGCTCAACAGCGATTTCGGCGCATTCAAGAACGTGATATATGCTATTGCCGAAATAAAGCGACTGTTATGTCCAGCTAACTCCGCAACTAACCTAGGCTGCAGCTACGACTGGACATATACGAACACGCTTGCCCTCAGTTGCTGGATCTGTCCATTGCATACTCATTAGATCGGCAACCAACCCTCGCTACGATTGTTCCAACTTCCGATAATGTCTGGACCATACCTCCACGGCCATCATGCCTCCGTCCTCCGTTCTCATAGCTGGCGTACAGTCGAGAACTCCTGTCCTCACCTCCTCCCTTACCTCAACAACCCTTCGCTCAAGATCCTCGATGTAGGCTGCGGGCCAGGCACCATCAGCGTTGATCTCGCTACCCGCGTCCCACAAGGCTTCGTCTATGCCATCGATCCCTCTGCAGAAGTGATCGAAAAGGCACGAAAACACGCAGAAGAAAGGGGCGTCACAAACATACGATTTGAGGCTGGAGATATCTTTGAATGGGACAAACTTGACGGCGTAGAGGAGGGGGGTTTCGATATCGTGCACGCACATCAAGTGCTGCAACACCTACAAGATCCGCTGGGTGCGATGAAGGAGATGAAGCGGTTGACCAAGTCAGGCGGCGTCGTTGCAGTTCGAGATTGCAACTACAGCGCTATGGACTGGTACCCAGAGCATCCAGGCATGCAGAAGTGGAAAGATCTATACATCAAGATCGCATTTGGATTGAAGGCACATCCCAACATGGGCAAGTATCTGCATGCGATAGCCATGCAAGCAAGGTTTCCAAGAGGCGATATCGAGGCTAGCGTAGCGGCTTGGACGTTCAGCACGCCGGAAGAGAGGGAGTTCTGGTGCGGACTCTGGGCCGATAGGACTGTTAAGAGTGACTATAAACAAAGGGCTCTAGACAGCGGATACGCGACGGAGCAGGATCTGGAAGAAATTGCAGCGACGTGGAGAGAGATGGAGAAAAAGGAAGACGGCTGGTTCGCCGTTATCAACGGACAGATCATATGCCACGTTAGGTAGGGTTTATAGGTAATCAGGCACCTGTATTGTCCTTCCTCTCGGTCATTCTTTTCGCCTCGCGCCTCGTTCTTTCCTATCGGACAAGATCCTTAGTACTTGGCCCCGCACGTCTACGTTACACTCATCCCACGCTTTCCACTCACCTCCAATCGCAAGACCCACCGCACTTACCGCGTGCCAGTCATCTGACGGCTTATGCACTAGCTGCTTAGGCCTGTCGTAGCTGCCTGTAGCTACCTGAGCTCTCTATATCAACCCCACTTTACCCCTCCAACTTCGAACAGCTATCAGCGCATTCCACGATACTACCAACAGTGCATTCTCCTACGATACCAAACAAACCCGATATCTAAAGGCCAATATGCAGTCCACAACCGTCCTTGTCAACTTCCACGGCGACTGCCCAAAGTGCGGCGCCGGCATCAGCGGCGACGCCAAGACCTGTGGATCTTGCGGCAGCGTAAGACGCTTGAAGGAGTCTTTACGACTAGAATATCGCTAATCACCATCGCAGTCTTGCCCAGTCTAGATCGATGATGTTTTTGAGTGGGTCGGCATAGTTTGTGAGGCTGGATACAGGGGATACCCAAAGGCTGGACATGCACGGCGTTGATATGGGAGGCGATGCTGTTTCAGATTACGAGAAGAGGAGCTTGGACAGCAGTTGGCATGCCTAGTGAGTGATCGAATGAAGCCGTTTATCGTGGTATATCTGTTTCTCATTTCTCCTGACTGAATCTTATGATATGTGCTATACCTGTTTCCTGTACACCCCTCTGGGAGGCTTAGCAGATATGTCCAGTGGAAAAGACGTCGCACAATCACACCATGGACGAACGCATCTTAGGTACGCACACATCAATTAAACTGTTCCGTGCGATAATTTCCTTTGTGGTACTGATGACTTGCCATGTATAGTACGCCTTGACATGTCAAGATAGACGTGCTCTGACTGGAATCGATACCATGTGTATCACGCTGTCTATGGCGATAGGCTCGTACGGATTATGTACTCTCTCGATCGTCCACCCACCAACTCTCCACCCTCTCTCCGTCCTTAGATAAATTAATGTCCAAATGGCCAGTATTACCGGGACATTCGAAAGCATGACGGCAGTGTTACATGAATAAAGGACACACCGACTCCATGTATCTAAAGAGCCAACTGTGAGCATGTACGAGAAATAGCACCCTTCAAGGTTCAGAATCTCCGGATGATATCCCCCACAGACAACCTCACTGAAGTATGGAGGAATTGAACTACACGAGTACCCTTGTAGTTCAGACGCCATCATCTAGAGCCAAGGAGTCAATAAAGTGGTCTCGAGACGCCTATGGTGCAAGGTCGTCGCATTGAAGAGATGTAAACTTACAGTACCAACAGCCATATTGAGCGACAAAATGCCGCCATCGATAGTGTTTCTGATCCAGGGATGCAAAGAAGTACGGAAGATAGACGTTGAGAGCGCAGCGATCAAGGTTGCTAGGCTCACTCCAGCCGAAAACTCTAGAATATGTGGAAGAGGGCCGAATTTGTTTCCAGTGATCAAGAGAATGGTGATGATGAAGACAGTGGCACTAAGGATGGCTTGGAATCCACGTGCGATAAGCACGGGGACTGAGGGAGAGATGCGCATCTCGTTGGATAGGTGATTTTCAGCGCAAGGGTTTCAAACATAAAGGTAGATCAACAAATGAGGCATTGGAGAGAAATGAAATCAGTCTCGCTTGAAGTTGTCTGTCAGAAGGGTGCGCTTTGCACAGCCGGGAGTTAGTTCGCCATTGTTTGCTGTCTGAGACAGGGCGGATGCAACATGACACTGTCAGTCAGATTATCGAGTAAAGTCGCACGAGACTGGAAGCAGGTAGGCGCAGTGTCTTATGTCATCACTTCGTGTTCATTATTGACGTATGCCAGTGCTGGCAATTAGACCCAAACTAGATTACGTCCACCGTCGTAAAGAGAGTGCTCTGATGATAGGTATCGTGGTGAAACAAAGAGGCCGACGTGAAGCTCTTCAGGAATATGCGTAGAACACTCTTAACTACTAGCAAGTCGAATTGCCAAAGGGATGTCTCATCATGACTTTGTACCATTAGTCAGATCATTAATCCTAGATTCGTTTGGAGACACTCACTCTTGTACGACTATGCGTCTAGTAGCCCTTCTTCATTCGCAAGAAAGCCAGCATGGCGGATACCGCGAGGACAAGAACTGCAAGGAACATAAAGACACAATCGGCTTGGGTCGACCTACACCTCGATACCATAACTTCAGGGTCGGTGAACCAGTACCAGCACTGATCATCGCGGCGGCAACCACCATTGAAGATGTCGTTGAAGACTATCTTGGCAGCACTGTGGTAATCTATGTCACCATTGCAGTCCACACCAGAGATCTTGATAGCGAGTACCTGTGTCGTTGTCAGTCGAAACATTCAACCAAAAAGTCGAGAAAGACCGTTTCGGCCCAAACTGGCACTTACGATTCCACCTGCCGCATTGATGAGAGCAACCAAGGCGTCAATGATCAAGCCAACCATGCCATCTAGGAAGGTCAAGAATAGAGCAGCGACCCCCAAAGCAGCTCCCAAGATCGTGACGCCGCCCACGAAAGCGGAGAAGCCCAAACTGGCTGGGAGGCTACCCCAGTGGTGACCGCGTATCAAAGAGACGGAGATCCCAAGTACGACAATACCGAAAAGAGCTTGGAAGCCGCGAACGACGAAGTTGAGAATTGGGTTTGCGATAGCCATGTTGTTACTTTGCGCGTACAATGAGGTGTGTGCGTGTGTTTGTGTTGATGAATATTCAGTCAGCACGACAACAGTGGTATCAATGTGATTGCGACAAAAAACTTTTTCGTCGCGTGTGAGTTGAGCTGAGAGTGAAACGTGAAAAAAAGGTAGGCGAAATGGGTATCACCTCGCTATTTACGCTTGTGCGCCTGTCCATACATGCACAGCATATACCTATTGGCTTTCCTCGCCTGTGCCACCTTCATGTCTGGCAGAAGCAGTTTCATGTTGCCGTGCGGCGTCCAAGGCAGACACATCGTTGGCACCGCCTTGTGTCCATCCCGATATACTGGCTTTTCGGGGCTAATCCTATTATCGTGAAGGGATCTGCAAATACGGTATGGTTGCCTGGATCAATTCTCAGGGTTCTGCCAGCTTTGGAAGAGTAGATAGCCATGAGGCTAGACTGCCATCGTATCTCTTTTCACCGGTAAAATCTAGGGGTACATCTGTGACTCATAGTAGAGGCTGCAATTGAAGCAATGTGCTGCTATTGTACATACCATTGCTACGATGTCATCATCCTAAGGGGGGGTAGAGCTTCAGACCCCACCGTCCCTATTTTTATCACACCTCACACAGCAAAACAAGTCGTCACCGTCTCGAAGCGACGCAGTATATTGACGGTCACCAATGGAGGCTGCAATTGTCAATGCGCAAGGCGTCCAGGAATTGGGGGCCAGAACTTCTCACCGGTCAAAATCATACCTGCCTGGAAGTATATCGTGCAAGGTGACAGCTCAAGTGAGGCAAGGTGCATGTAAGGCCTCACCTGTTATTCGGATCTTTGAGTTCGTTGATAAAGTGTCAAAGGTATGCGCAAAGATGTGCTCGTCACAGTACCCCTGTCTGGGGCTGTGCTAGTCTCATCCAATAAGAACGCATCAGCCTTTGGCTTAGCCTCCGAGGTAGCAGTTGCCGTCTTTCCTTGATGTTCCCAACCCATTTCCATGCTAATTCATTGCATATTAGTCGCTATTTTCGTAGCTCAACTGCGGTGGCAAGTATCTTGAATAAGCCAGCCAGGAAAACGTCTTGTGCCAGGAGTTGAACGTCCATTGCAGAAGTGATAGACGAGTCGCGAGTTGCTGTGCTTGAACAAAAGTAGATAATGACGAAGCAAGTAGTATACCCTTGTAGAGTATGGAGGTGTCCGAGCAATTTGACGATAGAGAGTAGGGTTGCTATAGCGCCCTGGTATCACTCAAGACTAAAAAGCCCTGTTGGTCCCTAGGGGATATTGCACAAGCAGTGGTGGTAATTGATGAAATTATTAGCTATAGTGAGAAGAGACTGAGTTCACTTGTTGAGTCTCGCAGCCCTCTCGGGATCTCTCCACCAAGCACACTGCTCCATCCTGATAGCTGTGCCCTCGTCCTCCATCATCGCGCCACCCATAGTCGGGGGATTGACCACTAGTTGCCTGCTTCCAGTTCCCTCGTACTGCTCCCAGGTTGCGCTGCCTGGCAAGGCATAAGTGTTCGGATCTCCACTGACAATAAAACTCGCCCAGTAAGCGCTGTACATATCCGCGATCACTGGGTATTGTGTGTTTGCTTGACCGTTAAAGTATGAGGAATCGCTAGCGTGCGGCACGCCCAGGTATGTGGCCGCCCAATTTGGTGTGTTCCAGCGCGCTTTGTAGACTGGGGCAGAGGTTGAGGAAAGAACGGAAGCCGTGTCTTGAACTGGGCATATATAAGAGTAGTCTCCGTAGGCCTCCGATACTCGCTCGAACTGGTCCGAGACGTAGCCCAGTGTGCCAGCCTCTGGCTTTACATCAGGGTAAAGGGTCTCAAGATCGGAAAGATCTTCAGCTGTTAGACCTGGAACGAGAGTCTTCCAGAAGTTGAGATAATCGGTGTTGGTACGTAGATCTTGTGGCGCGAAGGCTTTACCTTCGTCGGTTGTGGAGGAAATCAACATGGGAATGTTGAAAAAGGTGCCGTCTTCGCCGGAGGTTGAACCGCGCTTCTCAAGGAGGGGGCCAGGAGAGACAGGTTGCCAGGGCCAAGTGATGTTGTAGTTGTGGGCGTTATACAGCGAAGAGGACATGAACTGGATGTCATCGGCTTCGGCGGCGCGGAGGCACTCCAGGGCAGCAGAGCTGGGTGACAAAGGACAATTCAGATAATCCATAATGTCTGAGACTTGGCGTTGGTAGATAGGGTAGTCAACACCTGGGAAGGCACGCGCAGTTGGCGAACCAGAAGACATGATAACCTTGCTGAACAAAGGCTTTCCGGCATCCTCGTTGTAGTCGTGGAACAGGTGGATGCCAACCGAATGACCACCAGCACTTTGACCACCGAGGGTGATCTGGTCTTTGTCGCCTCCAAAATCGCCGATATACTTTTGCAAGAATTCCAGAGCCATTTTCTGGTCGCGGATACCCAGGTTCAGAAGGCCCTCTTCTTCCATAAACTTGCCTGGCAAGCTGCCCAGCGCACCAAGTCGATACTGAACAGTAACAACCATGAGGGGTTCTGTGCTCTTCTCCACAAACAGCGCTCCGTCGAAACTGCGGTGAGAGCCCGATACGAATGATCCTCCGTGCAAGTAGACCATGGATGGCAGTTTCTGGTCCATAGGAATACCTGAGGGTCGGTACACGTTGATGGTAAGACAAGCTTCAGACTGTCCGAGCGAGCTGTACATGTTCTGGAAACATGCCGGCCCAGTAGATGTCGCATCCTTGACACCATCAAAAGGTTCAGGCCATGTTACCGGCATGAACCTCCCCTGACCAACTGGTTGCGTGGAATACTCAACATTCATCCATGCATCCACTGGCCGACTGAAGGTCTCAGTCTTCTTCAAGTTCATGAGCATCTGGGTGCCCTGGAACGATCCATAATCCGGTAAGCTGACAAGAAGCGATCCATCTGGCGTCTCATGGTTCGGAGGACTTGGTCGTTGTGGCGTGCCAGGCTGATATGGTCTGGCATAGGTAAAAGCGCCAAAGTACCAGAACAGCAGGACAGTGCTCCCGGAGAAAATCATGATGATGGCTAACCTTCTCTTCAGCCATCGTAAGGAGAAACGGGTTGCTTTCATAGTATTCTGTTGCTCCCGGACTTCTGCCGATGGCGGCGCAGGGAGTCGGTCCGCCATAGGTACCGGTAGGCGCTACCGGCAACGGAGAGCGGAGTGACTGCGGGGATAAAAAGCGATGTAACTATTCCTACGGATAATCTATCACGCGCTTACTCTTGTTCGCGCTAGTTTGACGTTGTGATGGGGACGATGTTGGTGTTGAAGGTGAGATAGGGCACGTGGCTGGCGAATAATGACGTTGCCGAGACACTACCGAGTCAAGATATCGGTCGTGCAAGGATGTTTAGAGCCTTTCCGTGAACTTGCACGATGAATTACCTCCGAGGCTTGCCCTCATAAAGGATACCTTCCTTCTCCAAGCCGCTTCACGACACGTCCGAGGAAGCAGTTTTTCTCTTTCATCTCCCGCCCAACGGACGTATCCATGAATGAATGGATTATACCAAGATACTATGTTAGCTCGGTGCTTGGCTGAAGCCAAGTATCGCATCGGTGAAGAAGCTCATCGCTCACACCAATCTTGGGTGCGATCGCCGATATTCAATAGTAAGGAAAAAGCGACTTCAGACGATAAACGGATTCTAGATTTTGGTGAGGGGTGATAGTCGGTGGCGTCCGGAGAAGTAGAAGCCATCTGCTGCACCCCGCAAGCTAACGCAGCACAATAAAAGCATAGGCCTCGACCGGTGGATGTTCTGGCACCGAAAAGTAATCAACGCTAGCCAGCGCTGTGCGACTGACACCTTCCTTGTCAAGTGCAGAACAAAAATTGGTGTATCGCTAGCGTTACTGTCTACCCAGGATTAACGTACATATCCACACAATCTCCCATCTGAGCCTACTTTCCCTGCTCTGCCGCCTCCTTCTCCACAGCATCCGCCATATCCGCCAATGTATCGAATTTCCAGTTGTACACTGGATCATCACGGTTCCCCATAACCGCTCCTGGCCTATAAATCCAGGAACTCTTGATTCCCATATCCTTTGCTGGGTGGTGGTCGTGGTATTGAGATTGCGCGGTTTGCAGCACCTCGTGCTTCTCGATGCCGAATTGCTCCTTCACTTTTGCCAACATGTACTCAAAGTTTCTCAAGTCAGGCTTGTAGGAACCAATGTCTTGAGCAGTGTAGACCGCGTCGAACTTGTATCCCTTGAGCCCATTCGCATTTCCAAGCTTGAACGAATCATGGTCGACGTTTGAGAGCACGACAAGCTTGAAATATTTGGACAGCCTCTCTAATGCAGAGGGTATGTCGGAGAATCCGGGCCAGTGCCCAATACTCGCTCCAAATTCCTTGCTCTCTTCTTCACTGGGCTTCTCCAAACCAAGTTGCTCACACATTTCTGGGAGCACCATAGTAAGTACTTCAGAGTACTTGAGATGGCCGTGTTCTCTCTCAACTCTTGCTTCGATCTTGTGCATGACCTGCATGATGTGCTTGCGATCCATGTTCTCTTGACCAGACTTCTTGAGATGTGGTTGGAGAGCGATGAGAGCGCCAGCCTCCCAGTCGATCAGCGTACCGTATACGTCGAAGGAGAGGAGTTTAAAGTCTGTAAGTTTGGACATGATGGCGGTTGTTTGCGTATTTTGACAAAAATGATGTATTTATAGGTTTGGAAAACCTCTTGTGTTTGAGCTCTGTATTGATGAACGGACTGCGAGTGTGTTGCCGATTATTATATGTTGCCTCATGACTGTACAGTTGTCGCTGCCCAGAGGCCTCTTGGAACCCCACTTGGTACTATGACGTTGGCGGGGTATGATAACGCGCCCTACAAAGTACATGCTAGCATTTGCGACGGCCGAGACGTGATAGTTAACTGTGAGTCTTGACCTAGACGCTACATACGCTTCACTATGCGATCTGGTATTGCTGTATAGGTGGGCTGTACCTTACAAAGGGGAACATGCATGCAGCTGACGCGCGGGTCGCGCTTATCTCCGCCAAGTAGAGCATATCAAGCCACCTTGGAAGAGTCGAGGGCGAACAATCATGAAGCGCATCTACAAGAATCCCAATTTTATTCGAAAAATGTTCATTTGTAATCGGACCGGCATTTACCCTCGGCCTACGCTGTGTTGACAACATCAGTTCTCATCTCGTACGGCAGACTACCAAGTTTCGACTCCAAGACTTCCTTGGTCAGCCTCCACAGATTTCTTTGCAACTTTTCATCTCTGGCCTGCTTGGACGCTTCTTGGACCTTCTTATCAGGAACAATGTATGAGTTCTGTCAGAAGTCAGCTTGAGATTCTGAACGAGAAGTATGAGAGATCTCTACTTACCTGAATCTGATCCTTTACAATATCAGGTGACGCGGCAGCAAACAGGGCCGGGCGACATCCTTCAGCTACGGGATCCTTCATGAACGGCCTAACTGCTGCGACTCCAACCTTTCCCATGGTACCATAAGCCTCAACTGCCTGATCTTGCTGGTCCGTTAACACGCCGCCGGGGTGTGTCGCATTGATCCACGGTAAGCCGCTGCTCTCTGTGACTTGACCGAATTCGCCAGCCTTGACACGAGAGTACAGCTCACGTAGGAAGAGTATCTGTGCTAGCTTGGTGCGGTTGTAGAGCTTCATTGCGCCAATGTCTTGGTTCATCTCTTGGATCGATTCGAACTTCATGCTCGAGTCAGCGCCCTTATGCAGATCAGAGGATTGGTGTACGATGCGCGAGTCAGGCGTCTTCTGTAGTATAGGCAAGAGCGTGAGCGTAAGATGTGCCTGCGAGAAGACGTTGACCTGCATGTGGCTGTCCAGACCATCACGCGTCTCATTGTATACGCCGACACCCAGCCCAGCATTGCAGACCAAAGCGTCAAGTCTGTCCAGCTCCTTTGCCAGCGACTTGGCTACTTCGTCCACCTGCTTTAGGTCTTCGAGGTTGCACTTGCGCCACTCGACTTTACTTATATCACCCCATTCCTTGAGCGCTTCTTGGGCTTCATCGGCGTGCTCTTCCTTGTTCGACAGGAGGTAAATTTTCGACGGGTTGTGCTGAAGGAGATGTGCGACGATGCCGTATCCAATGCCGGCAGAGCCGCCAGTAACAACGTAGACCTGTGATCGTGGTCAGTAATTTGATCGTGTAGATGAGAGAGTATCAATTTACCTTCCCGCTAAGGTCAGGGATGTCTGTGTTAGGGTCGAAGGCGCTGCCGATGGCTTTCTTGATTGTGTCCATGATGATCAAGAAGAAGAAGCGTTAGTTGGATAATTAGTCTTGCTCAGTGTCTTTGGTATCCGAAGGGTAGAATGTCATCTTCATTCAGGCGAGAAGTAGGCTCATATCACGTCGCCCGACGCGTCGCGCATCGTGTCGTCATAATGAAATGGGTGGAAGCTCCGCCTCTAATTATGCCTACTACATGTTGCCTAAAGCCCCAAGCATGACATCAGCAACCTACCGAGCTAGCCACAATCATCAGCAAACGTTTACCATGTTTCATACGTGGATGCAGTCTGGGAAGTGTGTTGGTAAGGATGAGCAAGCGCAAGCTTAGTTCAGCGGTATGGACCGAGTGACACGAACACAACTGTCACAAGGTCTTTCTCACATCACACCAACACCAGTATCAAAAACACGGCATACATGACCAATGCGCTATACGGGATGTCTGCCAGGGTGATTAAGGACCCGGTGGTGTGATATCGAGAGAGGACTTTGTGTAAGGAAGAGGGGACGGGAGGTGGACTGCAAGCCTGAAAGGATCCGCGACCCCGCCCCACACAAGTAGGTACACCAAACCATCGCGTTCGTGCGTACTCTCCGGTCGCTCATCGCATAAGTAGCCTCCGCATGTGTCATGCCACCTAAACATACATCTCATATGAGGCATTACATGTAGTTCGCAGGTATCTGGTGGCGAGCCGGAGCCCTAACAAATATCCCTTAGGTCTACTACCACGATCTGATTCACGACTGATTATCATGGCTGAAATTACCATCTTTTACAAAACTTAGGACAACACAGTAGAGCCAATTCTCTGCATTCCCAAATATTCAAGAGGAAGTTACGATATCTGATGCCTATAGGCTGACGCTAAGTCTTGCCTTGTATAGTGTTTGCGTGTATCACTCCCAAGCCGAGCCACCAGCCCACTGTCTGTCCAAATCTCCGTCGTTGATCCCCTTTCCCGGAACTCCTTCAATGCCTCTACCTCTCCTCTCCAAAACACCAACTTCGACGAAGCCGATGCGTTCATCCATACGTACCTTGTATGCTGTCACTTCTTTCTCCAGTGGTTTCTCGTTCTCTTCCGTATGCTCGCTCGTTCGCACTTTCCGGGCACAGTAGTAGTTGAATGCGAATGACTTAATAGTCCGCCAAACTCTTGGATAGAAACAGGTCTCGCAAATGCGTACTAAAGTGCCCATGCTGATATACTTTGCACTGTTGGAACAGTCTGAAATACCGCAGGTACGTTGGTGAAGAGCATCATAAAGTTCAGCGAGGCTGAATGTAGAGTGCGAATGGAGGCCAACAGCCATTCTCACGGTATTCGGAGCTATGAGAGTGACCTAGAATCGCGATATCAGCACAAAGTCTGACGCTTCTGGCAATGCTTATTACCTTTTTCCACTCGATCAGACAAGCCACGAAGTCCATTCCCCTTTTGCTAACCCTCCTCCACACCAACAGACTTGCGAGATCCAGTTCCAGAACAACTTGTTCCATCAACTCAGCTGGCAGTCTCGATAATGATCCTAGATCAGGTGCGGTAGCGTAGTCGAGTTCGAGAGCATGCCGACCGTTATCGAAAGGGCAATGTCGGGCGAGCTTGTCGTGTTCAATCACGCTGCAGAAGGTGGCTTTCTCATAAGGAGTGAGGGTTATGGTGTTGTAGGCCGACATGACAGTGTATCCGGAGAAGCTGTTGATTTCAGGAGGAGAAACTTTTGGAAAGAAGACCGTAACCTATTGCGCTGGAGGGATTGAATAAAGTGTGCACGAGGCCTAGGCTCTCCAAGTACATCGCTAGTGAAATGCGCTTGTCAATTGACAGTGAACGAAATCAGAACAGTGAAGACTCATACGGACGTCAGATCAGATCAGGTAGATAGTTGGAAACATTGTTCTTCTTGTGGAGGATCGCATTTCTGGGGTCGTTGGCCTGCGAAACGCCATTTAGCTATCTGCGTCAAGCAAAACTCGAGGCAACTGATATTTCATAAAACGACTGGTAGAAAGAGTGAAGGCTCCATCCAGAACCAGGATTGCGCAGTTTTAGCAGCAAGATGAACCCTTGTGGGTTGTGGTAGCAAAAAAAGGGGTGATTATAGAGGTATCGTAAGACCTTCACCCTCAACACCTCTACAACCATCCAGCAAAAACGAACGGACGTACAAGCCCGACGTGGGGGTCGAACCCACAACCTTGAGATGTACTGAGTAATCGTGTCTGTTAGACCGTGAAAGACTAAGAGTCTCACGCTCTACCGATTGAGCTAGCCGGGCTATTGCTGTTGTTCGATGAAAGACTGGAAATTAATTCATATTATATCCTTGAGTATTTTGGGGTAGCAGAGAGATCGGGCAAGAAACTGGGTGAATCTCATATGGCCGGGATAAATGTTGGTTGGGTGGGGGGGAATTCGGCGGGACGGTCGAAAATTTCATTAGTGCAACACCAAAAATCACCCGCATGCTCGCTAAAGCACAACCGCAATACGTGTTTATTGGCCATCACTATATCGGCCACATGGTCACAAGATAGTCGTGGTATGAATGAGAGACTTGCTGCAATCAGGGTGTGTTGCGACAGTGATGTATATCAAGATCGTTCACCTATCTTCCAGTCCACATATAACAAAAGCACTATAAGAGCGGCATAATCAACTAAATGCATGGTCGTTGGATCGATGCGTATCATTCTTAAACTGCGCAAACGTGGTGCTATTTTAAGCGTGACGACTCCGCCTTCAGTGCGACGTTACCTAGGTACGAGGCCACAGCCTCAGAACTCGCAACGCGAGCAGCTAGTCAAAGTAATCTCTTTGGACACCATCGCCGACAAGTTAGGGGCGAAGGAATGTTGAAACGATGCAACGATATCGATGCTCTAGCCACTGTGCAGGCCGTATAACACAGCATTCTGCGAAATGATACAAAATACACGATCCAATCGCATAGTATTGATTGGGTCATCTCTCTTCCATGCTGTCAAGCAAGACGCCGCAGCACGAACCGGGCTGAGGGAAATTGTAGTATGCCCGCCTCACAAGCCGTGTTGGTACTTGGCGTGTTCTGTCCAAATTCAATGGGCATTTGGTTCCAACGCAACGGCAGCAATGTTAGCTATCGAATGGTAGACAAGAGGTTGTATTCATGTTCCTGTCAAGAAGGGTTTACTCGGAAGCAAAAGCATCCCGAAGGTTAGTATCAGGGTGCGGACTTGGCGCAACGTCAGGGTCTCCACCAAATCTCTCCCCACAGCGTGGCGCCGCGTAATGGCACTGCAAGTTGGGTAGTTTGCAGCATCGCGCGTCAATGTCAGCTTGGTGCAATTTGAGACGTGCGGCCAAGGTGAATCGATCTTATTCGTCGACATAACGAGGCCCCAGGGGCGCGGTTGCAGCAGAAGGCCCAGGGTAGTGGTAGGCACTGCCTCAGCACTCTGGTCCGTGCCTACATCTTTCGACGACCGGCAGTCAGCGAAACCTTGCAACAGGATCCGCAAACATTCCCGGCGCTGGTGGAAGTTGACCTTCGCTTTCTTCACGATACAAACGCGATCACGACACATTGCGCGCATTCGGTATAAACCTAACTCGGAGACGCCCGCCAAGCTGCGTTACTATAACCAGGGTGGCTTACGACGAAGCTCCGCAAGACCTCCGTATCCGTCCGCGACGCGACAACACATTGCAGAAACGACGACACACCGGCAGCTATCACATGAAGTGGTAGACAAACCGCCCTCTTCGGAGAAAGACGCCCATCGCAACATTCGGCCGCTATGGCCAGCAGGCCGCCCGGTGGACCGTCTCATAGCGAGAACCTGATCGACTTCGACGACCATCAACCCACATATTACTCGGGTGCACCGCCACCCGCCAATGACCATGACCTCCTCCACCGGTACGACATAGACAGCTCCGATGCAGCGCCGCAAGGTCGGCCCTCGGTTTCGTACGATGACTTTGTCGGGGGTGGGAGGGCGACGGCAGGCCTGCCGGGCGGGCCTGGCGCACCCACGGGTGACTCGCCCTATCTGGGAGGAGCAAACAACAGCAGAGCCTACTCGCAAACCTCGGACCTGCACAACTACCAGCGGTACTCGGATGCAGACATACCGGCAGACGACGATGCTTCAGCACAGGGCTACTACGCTGCGGGAGGAGCGTATGACCAGCCTTCACCAGGCATACAGCGCGGGGCATCCAAAAAGGCGCACAACAGGAATAGTATCCTGAGTCTTGGAGGTGGCCTGACTGGAAAAGTCAAGAACATGTTCGGGAAGGGCAACGAGTATTCCGAGATGGATCTGCCATTGACCGAGAACGCAGCACACCAACGGCAGCCCAGCGCGAATACGACCGCAAGCGCACGCGACGATGGCCAGTCCTCCAAAACGAAAAAGGGCATGGGTTCATTCAAGTTTGGCTTCGGCAGGGGCGCGCCAGATCCCTCAACGTTGGGGCCAAGAATCATCCACCTGAACAACCCGCCCGCGAATGCCGCCAACAAATACGTCGACAACCACATCTCAACCTCGAAATACAACATCGCCACCTTCCTTCCCAAGTTCCTCTACGAACAGTTCTCCAAATACGCCAATCTCTTCTTCTTGTTCACGGCCATTCTACAACAGATCCCCGGTATCTCCCCCACCTCGCGATACACTACCATTGTACCGCTTGGTATAGTCTTGCTGGTCTCGGCCGTCAAGGAGTACATTGAGGACTACCGGCGGAAACAATCTGACTCTGACCTCAACAACTCAAAAGCCCAAGTTCTCAAAGGCTCTACCTTTGCAGATACAAAATGGGTTAATGTGGCAGTTGGCGACATCGTACGCGTTGAATCCGAACAATCCTTCCCCACCGATTTGGTCCTGCTTGCTTCGTCCGAGCCCGAGGGTTTATGCTACATTGAGACGGCCAACTTGGACGGAGAGACAAATCTGAAGATCAAGCAAGCGATACCCGAGACAGCTGACTTTGTCAGTCCTGCTGAGCTGGCACGACTAGGAGGCCGTATACGGTCAGAACAGCCTAACAGCAGTCTATACACCTATGAAGCAACTTTGACCATGGCAGCTGGTGGTGGGGAAAGGGAACTACCACTAGCACCCGATCAGCTGCTGTTGCGTGGAGCGACACTGCGAAACACACCTTGGATACACGGTGTCGTGGTATTTACCGGACACGAAACGAAGCTGATGAGAAATGCCACGGCTACGCCTATCAAGACTACTGCAGTGGAGAGACTGGTCAACAAGCAGATTCTCATGCTTGTAGTCATTCTCATAGCGCTAAGCATCATCAGCTCTATAGGCGATGTGATTATACAGTCCAAGGAGAGAGACAGCCTCGAGTATCTCAGACTTGATGCTTTCAACGGCGCCAAACAATTCTTCCGCGACCTCCTAACATATTGGGTACTATACTCCAACTTGGTTCCCATCTCGCTTTTCGTAACGATTGAAATCGTCAAATACTACACTGGTAGTCTCATCGACTCTGATCTCGATATTTACTATGAACCGACAGACACACCGGCAAAATGCCGAACTTCGTCTTTGGTCGAGGAACTAGGTCAGATTGAATACATCTTCTCGGACAAAACAGGTACTCTGACATGCAACATGATGGAGTTCAAGCAGTCTACGATTGCCGGCATTCAATATGCCGATGAGGTCCCCGAGGACAGACGTGCGACCTTTGAAGACGGTGTTGAGGTCGGAATCCATGACTTCAAGCAACTTGAGCACAATCGCAAAACGCACCACAACAAGTACATTATTGACCAGTTCCTTACTCTACTCGCAACTTGCCATACAGTCATCCCCGAAAGAAAGGGCGAAAAGGCTGCCATCAAGTACCAAGCTGCATCGCCCGATGAGGGCGCCTTGGTGGAAGGCGCAGTGACTCTTGGCTACAAGTTCGTTGCGAGGAAGCCGCGCGCGGTGATTATCGAAGTCGATGGTCGCGAGCTTGAATATGAACTCCTAGCCGTTTGCGAATTCAATTCCACCAGGAAAAGGATGTCTACGATTTTCCGTACTCCTGAGGGCAAGATTGTCTGTTACACCAAGGGAGCCGACACCGTCATATTGGAGAGGCTTGGCAAAGACAACCCTCATGTGGAAACGACGTTGACGCATCTTGAAGAGTACGCTTCCGAGGGACTGCGCACGTTGTGTCTTGCGATGCGAGAGATCTCAGAGAGCGAGTTCCAGCAATGGTGGTCGGTCTTCAATACTGCACAAACAACTGTTAGCGGTAATCGTGCCGAAGAGTTAGACAAGGCTGCTGAGCTCATTGAGCATGACATGACTCTGCTTGGAGCGACTGCTATCGAAGACAAACTGCAAGAGGGTGTACCAGACACTATCGCTACCCTGCAATCCGCTGGTATCAAGGTCTGGGTCCTCACTGGAGATCGCCAAGAAACTGCCATCAACATTGGCATGAGTTGCAAGTTGATCAGCGAGGACATGAGTCTACTCATTGTTAACGAAGAAAATAAGGAAGATACGCGAGACAACATTCGCAAAAAGTACCAAGCAGTTACTAGTCAGAGCCAAGGTGGAGCTGAGATGGATGTTCTCGCTCTAGTTATCGACGGCAAGTCGCTTACCTATGCCCTTGAGCGTGACCTTGAGAAGGAGTTCTTGGACCTGGCTGTCAGGTGCAAGGCTGTCATCTGTTGCCGTGTCTCCCCTCTACAGAAAGCCCTTGTCGTCAAGCTTGTCAAACGCCACCTCAAGGCTATCCTTTTGGCTATCGGTGACGGCGCAAACGATGTTTCCATGATTCAGGCCGCTCACGTTGGTGTTGGTATCAGTGGTGTTGAGGGGTTGCAGGCAGCACGTAGCGCAGATATCGCGATTGGCCAATTCCGCTACTTGCGCAAACTTCTCCTTGTCCACGGCGCCTGGAGTTATCAGCGTGTCAGCAAGGTTATCTTGTACTCTTTCTACAAGAACATTGCCATGTTCATGACACAGTTCTGGTACTCTTTCCAGAATGGGTTCTCGGGTCAGATTATCTATGAGTCGTGGACGCTGACCTTCTACAACGTGTTCTTCACAGCGGCGCCGCCTTTCGTCCTGGGTATTTTCGATCAGTTCGTAAGCGCGAGGCTTTTGGACAGGTATCCGCAGCTCTACCGCCTCAGTCAGTCTGGTGTCTTCTTCCGTATGCACTCTTTCTGGTCTTGGGTTGGAAATGGCTTCTACCACTCGCTGATTTTGTATTTCGGTGCCCAAGCATTTATTCTCTGGGACTGGCCACAATGGGATGGCCGAAATGCAGGCCATTGGGTTTGGGGAACCGCCGCTTACACTGCTAATCTGGCGACCGTCCTTCTCAAAGCCTCCCTCATCACCAACATCTGGACAAAGTATACCGTGCTAGCTATTCCGGGCTCCATGCTGCTTTGGTTCATCTTGATGCCCATCTACGCTGTCGTAGCCCCCAAGATCAACATATCCAACGAATATGTTGGTGTAATCGAGCGCCTCTTTCCTGACCCACGCTTCTGGGCAATGGTATTGGTACTGCCACCACTCTGTCTCATCAGAGACTTTGCGTGGAAGTACGCGAAGAGAATGTACTTTCCGCAGAGCTACCATCACGTTCAAGAGATTCAGAAGTATAACATACAAGATTACAGGCCACGGTATGTTTTCCCCAATTTTTATATTTGCTCGCCACGATTCACTGACTTTGCAACAGTATGGAGCAATTCCAAAAAGCCATCCGAAAAGTCCGACAAGTGCAGCGTATGCGCAAACAGCGTGGGTATGCGTTTTCACAAACAGACGAATCACAAGCTCGGGTGCTACAAGCCTATGATACCACACAGCAAAGAGGGCGGTTCGGAGAGATGGCGAGTTCGCGGAAATAACCCTAGGCATTTGGACCTGATAAGGGGAACGCATTTTACTCATCGGAGTTTGTTCGGCGTATGGAAAGTGGGCGGTATGATGTTCTTGTACGACTGCGCTCCCAGTAGGTATGATGTCTGTGATGTGAATAGTGCAGGTGTTATTGATATTAGCGTCAATCAACGAGGACTTCTAGTTGTACATTTCTAAAGGCCCCTTCTGTGTTCATTACTTCCCCTGCGCTTACAAATTGCGTTCAACATTGTGTTGTGTCTCCAGTGCGGAGCTATCTCCACCCCAAATGTCTTTCGCACTGATCGGAGCTTCCTGTCGCAAACGTAAAGAGCAGCTTCACGTGCCTCTAACATTTTCATGCAACGTCAGAAACCCCACGCCGGCTCATCGCTTATCCAATGTAATGGACGAACGGTAAATCACGACTATGGCGCGTACTAATTATCCGGTGCCTTGAGACTAATAGCTCTTTACCCGTCCACCGCGTGGTGGCAGAGCCAAAATGTGGGTACGGAGGGGCACCTGTTACCCCACTATCGTCACTACTGCGGTTGTGAGCGCTCTTTTGCCAGCAACACAGCACAGACATGCGGTTTCACCACGCAGAAGTTTCTTGTTGATACTGTTGAGACCAACCGCTATTTATCCATTTATCGACAGTCGCCGGGCAAGAGGAAGAGGAAGTGGCGGTGCAATTCCAGCTTCCAATCGACATCAAACACCAAGGCCGACCAATATGGTCAGCATCCGCCACAAGCATGCGGCGTAACAAGGATAAAAGCCAGGCGGAACCATCGCCTATCAGGGTAAAGAGGCAAACTGATCATACTAACCCAGTCGTCCGGTTGAAGACGCAGGGTCATATGTTCATGTTAGCCTCTAACACGGCGTATATAGACGGTAGGCTGTTGTACCTGGCGCCAAATTCTCTTATTCCGTCTGCAAAATACACGTATATATTCTGGGGACATGATTACTGGGCGCTTCCATTGCCGTGCTAGCAGTATTAATACCCTGCGTGCCGCCTGTTCTTCTGCTGTTCCGACTTCCAGACCTCTTGCATCATCTTTTCTACATTCTTCAAGACCTTGCATTGAACGACGAACGCCAACATTATTACAACGGAATAGTTTTGCCAATCGCAACTTCTTCGCTACCATGGCTATCAACACTCCCTACGTTACGCTAAACGATGGCAACAAGATGCCTCAGGTTGGCTTTGGACTGTGGAAGGTCGACAATGCTACATGTGCGGACACTGTCTACAATGCCATCAAGGCTGGATACAGATTGTTCGACGGTGCTTGCGGTAAGTAAATCTCGAGTCTCCATCCCCAAACCCACCATTAGCGGATGTGGGGAGATCGGTCTCTGTTACTACGAGACGCTCCATCGGCCCGTAAACCGTGTAGTACAAAGATCTACCGGCAATCTTTGACGGGCTCATGACCCCGATTTACCCGTGGTTTCTGCCTCCTTGCCTTGCCTCGGAATGCTAGCGTCCTTCTTCGGAACGAAAGCGCGCGTGATCATGGCTGACACCAAATTCCACAGACTACGGCAACGAAGTTGAGTGCGGTCAAGGTGTAGCTCGCGCTATCAAGGAAGGCCTCGTAAAGCGCGAAGATCTCTTCATCGTCAGCAAGCTCTGGCAAACTTTCCACGAGCGTGAGCAAGTCGAGCCCATCTGCCGCAAGCAATTGGCCGACTGGGGTATTGACTACTTCGACCTTTACGTTATCCACTTCCCCGTCGCCCTCAAGTATGTCGACCCCAAGGAGCGCTACCCACCTGGCTGGTTCGTCGACGGCAAGAGCAAGATCGAGCACAGCAATGCCAGCCTACAAAGCACATGGGAAGCATTTGAGGAGCTCAAGAATAAGGGCCTGGCCAAGAGCATCGGTGTGAGCAACTACTCAGGAGCGCTGCTTTTGGACATGTTCACCTACGCAAAGACCAAGCCCGCCACTCTCCAGATCGAACACCACCCCTACTATGTTCAGCCCTACCTGATTGAGCTGGCTAAGCAGCACGACATCAAGGTCACCGCATACTCATCTTTCGGGCCTCAGAGCTTCATCGAGTGCGACATGAAGATTGCGGCCGACACACCCCTCCTGTTCGACCACCCGGTCATCAAGAAGATCTCCGAGGCACACGGCAAGACCCCCGCACAGGTCCTGCTCCGCTGGTCGACACAGCGTGGTCTTAGCGTTATCCCCAAGTCCAACTCGGCGAACCGTCTGCAGCAGAACTTGGATGTGACGAGCTTCGATCTCAAGGACAGCGAGATTGAGGAGATTTCGGGCTTGGACAAGAACTTGAAGTTCAACGCTCCTACCAACGTAAGTAAAAACCTGTGTCCGTGTGGAGAAGGATGAGCGCTAATGTCGACGTGCAGTACGGTATTCCTTGCTACGTCTTCGCATAGACGGTGTCTGTGAGAGACGAGGAACGATTGAAAACGACGACATGAATAGATAAAGGCACGGCGTCTTGCGCTGATAGCTAAATAATAAAAAAAAAACAAAAAAGTTCAGCTCTTATCGCTTGCCATTGCGTGGTGTATGTATTCGTTTTGGCGGTTGTTGAACACCATGTCGGGCCTTTAGCCAACGATGTCGGTGCGATGAGCCAGCTGCCCTCACAGTTGTCTTTCGCGCATCACGTAAGCGCGCCATTACATGCTTTCGTCTGCGTCGATTCAAGGAACTCTTACTCGTGGGCGGGCAGTGACATTCGCATTTAGCACGTCAAATTATTGTCATAGCTGTCAACTAAGCTTAGGGCATATGCGACTAACGCATCCACTCGACGGTGACGGGGAAAGTCCAGATGCTCTACCCGCTTTGTGCATTTATCCTGATCTCTTGTACAGTTCATATGCGTGAAACAGCCCATGGTCCGCAAGCTGGAATCTTCTGTATCGACGACCAGGGTGCTCGTTCGCAGCGCGACGTGATTCGCCACGGAATAAGGAAGTGCGCACATCCGGCTATCTACCGTCAGCTGCAGATGCACATTTCAACAATGCCATGGGCAAAAGCCCATCAAATGCACTACGACTGCACTGCCGACAGCCGTACAAGTGCGGCTTGACATGTCCAAGAGACCGAGATAACGTTTGTACAAAGGCCATGGAATGACGCGCTTGTGATCTAGGTCTTGCCGTTTCTGCTTCTCTCTTGTTTCCGCTAAGCTCCGGAAGATGCTCCACTGGAACAGCCGCATGCCGCATGATCCGCATTGGCATGGCAAGGGCTAGACTGCTTGTGTGCTGCATGTACAATTAGTGCTAGATCCCGATGATAACAGGCACACACACACGCACACGAATAATTGCAACGCGTCTTCAGGATGACTTGAGGAAACCGCATCAAAGTCACGTCGAGGCCCGAAGCCCGACCCTCCGTTTCAAGTAAAAACAGTGTGCACTGCGTGGTCTGTGTCTTCCGATGATCAAATCGATCACAGACGTGACATCACAACACGATCTCTTGGTGCATCCGCGGATCCCGGAGCTAGTACTAAAAACACTGCTAAACTCTGAACAACCAACGCGATTAACAATCCGTCTTCGGCGAATCCAGGCAACTGACCTCACTCATCACCTTACTACTCACGCGTCGCAGCTTCTTGCTCACAAAACCTTCCTCTTTACTCTGCTAGCTAGCTGCTACGGCTCTATACATACAAGAATAAGCGTGCCGGCCTGCTGCTTCTCCTCTCTGTCTCCTACCCGCTGTCTTGGTCCCGACTGCATATTGATACCCCCGGAACCTAACCTGACGTACTTGATCTGATCTGCTTTTTACACGGCCGTTTCCGCTTCGCACTGTACCGCATCGCTTCGCATTGTTACTTTGAGTCTCCAGCAAGCGCATTTACATTTACCTTGAATCTTGATTACTGAATCCGGTGGGAAGACATGGCGTTGTCGACAGAGCAGAACCAGATGAGGTATGTCGCGCTTGCCCAAGGTTCGCGACACGCGACGGGTACTGACATGGTCTCCAGATTCTTAGCCATCGTGCTCCCTTCCCTCACTCTCTGCACGCATACATTACTCGCGCTGTCCTTCTTACTACCCGGCTCCGACCTCGACCGCGCATCTTTCTCCATCTCATACAATGTACTTGCCGGCAGCGCAAGCATATTGGGCCTCCTAGGCGCCGTAAGGGTAAGCCAAGCTCTTCCCCGCGACTTGTGCGACTGTCCACTAGCTGTATACTTGGTTGTGTCCAGCCGGCTTCGCTCGGAGTCGCAGTCTCATGTCCATTCGTCACATGAATCCGCTAACACCCGATGCTGCAGTTATTACCAAGCCTGGTGTCAGCTTACACAATCATCCACGCGACCACGTTGTCCTTTGTAACCATCGCTCTCGTAAACCTGGTTCTTCCCTTCGACTTCCGGTTGCTAAATCCGGTAATTCCGAGCTACGCCGTCGACGGATCGTCGATATGCCGCGACATTGATGCCGGTTTTGGATGGGACGATGAGTGGTTGGAAAAGTGCTCGACAACGTTTGCTGTTGTCAAGTTTGGGGGCGCCTGTGTGGGGTTGGTTTTGATGATCGCCCAATGGTGGGCTTTGTTCAGCGTGCGGAGATGGGGACAAGAGTTGGGATGCCAATGGGAGACTAAAGAGATGGATGTGGAGAAAGCTAGCCTTGTACAAGAGGAGGATGACATGATCTATGACGAAAAGACTGGATTCTAAATGATATAACGAATTAAAGATTACAAACAAAACCAGGGAGACCAGCTCTTGTTAGAAGTGAAGCATACAAGAACGAAGAAAAACTGACTGGAGGTCGATGCCAAACGCACCCATCCATCGGTTAGGCTGACTCAAATCGAACAGACAAGTCAACAAATTGTTTCCCGTTCGCGTCCCAAAATTCTTCCCGAACCCAAAGTTGATTCTCCCCTCTAACGCGTGAGCTGGGAGCGTCTCTCCAGAAGACCGGGTTTCGACATTTTTGACCATCGTTGATATGTCGATTGTAGACTGTTACTTCCCAGAAAGAACAGCTGTCACACTTGCATTCGCACTTGTCCCACCCCTGGATATCTCCACAGTGCATGCACATTTTGTCTGAGTGGCTAACCCATCCATTTTTGTTCCCGGCCTCATGACTGATAATTCTCATAAACCTTCCAACATGCCAGAAGCAGACTCGTGGTGGTAATTTGATGATGTCGTGGGGGACGTTGGTATGCTCCATAGGCGCGCAAGCCGGACTGTTCGATGACTTGAACTGGCTGATGGGATACTCAGCGTTACACACGATGCAATGTCGATGACTGGGTTTAGATGACGATGGGGTCAAATAAACCTGGATAGCGCGCTGGGCACACCTTGACCGAGGAGCCTGCCAACGTCTCTGATCGAGAGGCAGGATATCGTTGAATCGTCGTTGAGTCAATTTGAGGGCCAGTATGGCGTCGAGCGCAAGGCGGTCGGTGATCGCGAGGATAAGTTCCGTCGGCAGGCTCGCAAGACATGCGGTATTTGGAGCCAGGGCAGCTTGAGATTTAGTCAAAGGTGTCTGTTGATACACTACAGGTTTTCGCATCTGCATTCTGCTGGTAGAAAAGAAGCGTAAGAAGAGGTTGATGTAATACACTCGCGCACATGGCGAGATCCATTTGCGTAGCCATATTGATGACATTCACTCGGTCTTGTCAGCGTTGTGGGAATTCACGTCCTGCCGTGAAAGAAAACAGCGTTCGTCCATCAGGCCTGCGGAATCGGTGCTAATAGGCATCCATAATCCCGCCTCCTTTCGAAGGAGCGTGTCTCATACTCTATGCGTGAGAGGCTCCTTGCGCCCCGTCATGCGTGATGGGCTTGTCGGGCGTATTTGTTGGAATGTAGAATAGGTGGTCATGTCGACAGTGTGGCTGATGTCGTAAGTGATACCAACACCCGTGGTTTGTGGCGCGTGATGCTATGGAAGCAAAAGAGGAAAGAGCGTTCGACGCGAACGGTGTGATGACAATGTCATGGAGACGGAAATGGAAAGCAAAGGAACGACTGGGCAGACGGAGAAGTGAGAACACCCTGACCTCAGCACGGATGACATATGCCAGGCTTACTTTTGAAGGCGATGGCGCAACGGCGGGACGTAGGCCAAGTTGGCGAACTACAAAAAGCTGGGGTAGAGGCGGGAGCGCATGTTTAGCCGAATGGGTCGTGCCCCTGTCTGGGTTCGTTTGCTCTCCGCACGAGCCATGGTGATATTGCTTACGCCGTGAGGTGTCTCTAAAAAAGATGATGCCGTCGTTGTATAATGACTGTCTTGTCTAGCGACCGGCAACGCACTCCGAACCCCCACATCTTGCAAGACTGACGTCGCGTATCAGCATGCGAAGCTCGGCGTGCAGGGCGTTACTATCTCAATATCGTTAAACCTCATCTGGAAACAAAGCCGGCACCGAAGCTGGCCATGTCGGTACCCTCTGCGCAAGATACACAGTAGACGCAGGCGACAACCACACCGATGGTATTATCTCTCTCGGTCCATGTGCATGTGCTACGACGGAGAAGCAAGCCACATGTCAATATTTTCACAAATGCCTGGCTTTGGTGGGAGCTTATTGGAAGCCAGGCCGCAATGGTCGTTGGATGCCCCGCATTAGAGCCCAAGCGCTCCCACATATCTTGTCATGGTGTAGTGTAAGTGATCATGCTGGCAATGCGGTGTGGCATGCGTCGGTTTGGCATCGCTACCGTCCCGGGCGCGTTGGCGGGGCACTGCGAACGTTGAGTTCGCAGGTGATGGCGACGACGCAGTGTCTAACAGCATGACAGACATGATGCAGACCCTGAGTCGGGAGAATGTCAGGGTCAAAACAGAGTCAAACAGGGAGGGTCTGGGAAAACCACGTGTAAAGGAGGCGCGCGGGGCTTTCTCATGAATAGCCGACGACAGACCATGGTGGTGAGAGCCCGAACCGTTGTTCGCTAAACGCGCCCACTGCTCTCCCACTGCATATCCCGCAGTACTCGACTTGGATATGCAGCTGCCCCTCTCGGACGTCATCCGCATGCTCTTCCACTTGGCCGACTGCTGGTAGAGTCGCAGAGCCAGGCCTCGAGAGACAGTAAGAGATCCCCCAAGGCAAGGCTGCGGCGCGTCTGTCGCGATACGAAGAGTAAGCGGTGGTTGCGGACGGGATCGAATGGGATATCAGACTAATTGCATGCAGCTGGTGAGGCCCGTGTCTGAGAAGCGGAGATGAATTAAGTGGATAGGTCGTTGCTCGGCCTGCTTAGCGCAACGAATCCAGCATCCCCTTTCGACATAATCCTCAGCAGTCCCGCGATATCTCCCGAAGTGCCTCCCTGACCCCTACCCGCTCAGTTGTGTGCTTTTCTCGGTGACTTCACTTGCTGCCTGCTAAGTGAACAGCTGTCGCTCCT